CCACGATGGCTGGGGGTCCGTGTCACCCTGACGTCTGGGAGGGTCCGTGTCACTGTGACGGCTGGGAGTCCGTGTCACCCTGACACCTGGAGGTCCATGTCACCCTGACAGCTGGGAGGGTCCGTGTCACCAGGGTGCCAGGGGGGCCGTGTCGCCGTGATGCTCAGCGGTTGGTGTCACCGTGATGGGTGGTATCGCTGTCACCGCCATGTTTGGGGGCTGCGTCACCATGATGTCTGGCACCGGTGTCAATGAGATGTCGGGGGAGCTGTGTCACCGTGATGCTCAGCGGGTCCATGTCACCCTGACAGCTGGGAGGGTCCGTGTCACCAGGGTGCCAGGGGGGCCGTGTCGCCGTGATGCTCAGCGGTTGGTGTCACCGTGATGGGTGGTATCGCTGTCACCGCCATGTTTGGGGGCTGCGTCACCATGATGTCTGGCACCGGTGTCAATGAGATGTCGGGGGAGCTGTGTCACCGTGATGCTCAGCGGTTGCTGTCACCATGATGTCTGGTAGCAGTGTCACCGTGATACCTGCTATTGGTGTCACCGCAACGTCTGGGGGCCGCATCGCCATGACATTCAGAGGTTGGTGTCACCGCGATGTCTGGTACCGGAGTCACCGTGACGTCTGGTATCGGTGTTACCACAATGTCTAGTACCAGCGTCACTGCAACGTCTGGGAGCCGTGTCACCGTGATGTTCAGAGGTTGCTGTCACCACGATGTTCACCGTGATGCTCAGGGGTTGGCGTCACCACAACGTTCACCGTGATGCTCAGGGGTTGGCGTCACCGTGATACATGGGGTTTGGTGCCACTGCATCGTCTGGTATTGGTGTCACTCTGGTGTCTGATACCGGTGTCACCGCGATCTCTGGTACTGGCACCACTGCGATGTCCAGGGGGCTGTGTCACCGTGATGCTCAGGGGTTGGCGTCACCACAACGTTCACCGTGATGCTCGGGGCTTGGCGTCACCATGATGCTCAGGGGTTGGCGTCACCACAGCGTTCACCGTGATGCTCGGGGCTTGGCGTCACCGCAACGCTCAGGGGTTGGCGTCACCGCAACGTTCACCGTGATGCTCGGGGCTTGGCGTCACCGCAACGCTCAGGGGTTGGCGTCACCGCAACGTTCACCGTGATGCTCAGGGCTTGGCGTCACCGCGACGCTCAGGGGTTGGCGTCACCGCGACGTTCACCGTGATGCTCGGGGCTTGGCGTCACCGCAACGCTCAGGGGTTGGCGTCACCGCAACGTTCACCGTGATGCTCAGGGCTTGGCGTCACCGCGACGCTCAGGGGTTGGCGTCACCGCGACGTTCACCGTGATGCTCGGGGCTTGGCGTCACCGCAACGCTCAGGGGTTGGCGTCACCGCAACGTTCACCGTGATGCTCAGGGCTTGGCGTCACCGCGACGCTCAGGGGTTGGCGTCACCGCGACGTTCACCGTGATGCTCGGGGCTTGGCGTCACCGCAACGCTCAGGGGTTGGCGTCACCGCAACGTTCACCGTGATGCTCAGGGCTTGGCGTCACCGCGACGCTCAGGGGTTGGCGTCACCGCGACGTTCACCGTGATGCTCGGGGCTTGGCGTCACCGCAACGCTCAGGGGTTGGCGTCACCGCAACGTTCACCGTGATGCTCAGGGCTTGGCGTCACCGCGACGCTCAGGGGTTGGCGTCACCGCGACGTTCACCGTGATGCTCGGGGCTTGGCGTCACCGTGATGCTCAGGGCTTGGCGTCACCACAACGTTCACCCGTGATGCTCGGGGCTTGGCATCACCGTGACGCTCAGGGGTTGGCGTCACTGTGCATGCACACACAGATGTGCACGTGCACACACACTCACACCCATGCACGTGCACACCCATGCACACACACACACTTGTGCACACACACACGTGCACACGTGCATGCACACACAGATGTGCACGTGCACACACACTCACACCCATGCACGTGCACACCCATGCACACACACACACTTGTGCACACACACACGTGCACACGTGCATGCACACACAGATGTGCACGTGCACACACACTCACACCCATGCACGTGCACACCCATGCACACACACACACTTGTGCACACACACACGTGCACACGTGCATGCACACACAGATGTGCACGTGCACACACACTCACACCCATGCACGTGCACACCCATGCACACACACACACTTGTGCACACACACACGTGCACACGTGCATGCACACACAGATGTGCACGTGCACACACACTCACACCCATGCACGTGCACACCCATGCACACACACACACTTGTGCACACACACACGTGCACACGTGCATGCACACACAGATGTGCACGTGCACACACACTCACACCCATGCACGTGCACACCCATGCACACACACACACTTGTGCACACACACACGTGCACACGTGCATGCACACACAGATGTGCACGTGCACACACACTCACACCCATGCACGTGCACACCCATGCACACACACACACTTGTGCACACACACACGTGCACACGTGCATGCACACACAGATGTGCACGTGCACACACACTCACACCCATGCACGTGCACACCCATGCACACACACACACTTGTGCACACACACACGTGCACACGTGCATGCACACACAGATGTGCACGTGCACACACACTCACACCCATGCACGTGCACACCCATGCACACACACACACTTGTGCACACACACACGTGCACACGTGCATGCACACACAGATGTGCACGTGCACACACACTCACACCCATGCACGTGCACACCCATGCACACACACACACTTGTGCACACACACACGTGCACACGTGCATGCACACACAGATGTGCACGTGCACACACACTCACACCCATGCACGTGCACACCCATGCACACACACACACTTGTGCACACACACACGTGCACACGTGCATGCACACACAGATGTGCACGTGCACACACACTCACACCCATGCACGTGCACACCCATGCACACACACACACTTGTGCACACACACACGTGCACACGTGCATGCACACACAGATGTGCACGTGCACACACACTCACACCCATGCACGTGCACACCCATGCACACACACACACTTGTGCACACACACACGTGCACACGTGCATGCACACACAGATGTGCACGTGCACACACACTCACACCCATGCACGTGCACACCCATGCACACACACACACTTGTGCACACACACACGTGCACACGTGCATGCACACACAGATGTGCACGTGCACACACACTCACACCCATGCACGTGCACACCCATGCACACACACACACTTGTGCACACACACACGTGCACACGTGCATGCACACACAGATGTGCACGTGCACACACACTCACACCCATGCACGTGCACACCCATGCACACACACACACTTGTGCACACACACACGTGCACACGTGCATGCACACACAGATGTGCACGTGCACACACACTCACACCCATGCACGTGCACACCCATGCACACACACACACTTGTGCACACACACACGTGCACACGTGCATGCACACACAGATGTGCACGTGCACACACACTCACACCCATGCACGTGCACACCCATGCACACACACACACTTGTGCACACACACACGTGCACACGTGCATGCACACACAGATGTGCACGTGCACACACACTCACACCCATGCACGTGCACACCCATGCACACACACACACTTGTGCACACACACACGTGCACACGTGCATGCACACACAGATGTGCACGTGCACACACACTCACACCCATGCACGTGCACACCCATGCACACACACACACTTGTGCACACACACACGTGCACACGTGCATGCACACACAGATGTGCACGTGCACACACACTCACACCCATGCACGTGCACACCCATGCACACACACACACTTGTGCACACACACACGTGCACACGTGCATGCACACACAGATGTGCACGTGCACACACACTCACACCCATGCACGTGCACACCCATGCACACACACACACTTGTGCACACACACACGTGCACACGTGCATGCACACACAGATGTGCACGTGCACACACACTCACACCCATGCACGTGCACACCCATGCACACACACACACTTGTGCACACACACACGTGCACACGTGCATGCACACACAGATGTGCACGTGCACACACACTCACACCCATGCACGTGCACACCCATGCACACACACACACTTGTGCACACACACACGTGCACACGTGCATGCACACACAGATGTGCACGTGCACACACACTCACACCCATGCACGTGCACACCCATGCACACACACACACTTGTGCACACACACACGTGCACACGTGCATGCACACACAGATGTGCACGTGCACACACACTCACACCCATGCACGTGCACACCCATGCACACACACACACTTGTGCACACACACACGTGCACACGTGCATGCACACACAGATGTGCACGTGCACACACACTCACACCCATGCACGTGCACACCCATGCACACACACACACTTGTGCACACACACACGTGCACACGTGCATGCACACACAGATGTGCACGTGCACACACACTCACACCCATGCACGTGCACACCCATGCACACACACACACTTGTGCACACACACACGTGCACACGTGCATGCACACACAGATGTGCACGTGCACACACACTCACACCCATGCACGTGCACACCCATGCACACACACACACTTGTGCACACACACACGTGCACACGTGCATGCACACACAGATGTGCACGTGCACACACACTCACACCCATGCACGTGCACACCCATGCACACACACACACTTGTGCACACACACACGTGCACACGTGCATGCACACACAGATGTGCACGTGCACACACACTCACACCCATGCACGTGCACACCCATGCACACACACACACTTGTGCACACACACACGTGCACACGTGCATGCACACACAGATGTGCACGTGCACACACACTCACACCCATGCACGTGCACACCCATGCACACACACACACTTGTGCACACACACACGTGCACACGTGCATGCACACACAGATGTGCACGTGCACACACACTCACACCCATGCACGTGCACACCCATGCACACACACACACTTGTGCACACACACACGTGCACACGTGCATGCACACACAGATGTGCACGTGCACACACACTCACACCCATGCACGTGCACACCCATGCACACACACACACTTGTGCACACACACACGTGCACACGTGCATGCACACACAGATGTGCACGTGCACACACACTCACACCCATGCACGTGCACACCCATGCACACACACACACTTGTGCACACACACACGTGCACACGTGCATGCACACACAGATGTGCACGTGCACACACACTCACACCCATGCACGTGCACACCCATGCACACACACACACTTGTGCACACACACACGTGCACACGTGCATGCACACACAGATGTGCACGTGCACACACACTCACACCCATGCACGTGCACACCCATGCACACACACACACTTGTGCACACACACACGTGCACACGTGCATGCACACACAGATGTGCACGTGCACACACACTCACACCCATGCACGTGCACACCCATGCACACACACACACTTGTGCACACACACACGTGCACACGTGCATGCACACACAGATGTGCACGTGCACACACACTCACACCCATGCACGTGCACACCCATGCACACACACACACTTGTGCACACACACACGTGCACACGTGCATGCACACACAGATGTGCACGTGCACACACACTCACACCCATGCACGTGCACACCCATGCACACACACACACTTGTGCACACACACACGTGCACACGTGCATGCACACACAGATGTGCACGTGCACACACACTCACACCCATGCACGTGCACACCCATGCACACACACACACTTGTGCACACACACACGTGCACACGTGCATGCACACACAGATGTGCACGTGCACACACACTCACACCCATGCACGTGCACACCCATGCACACACACACACTTGTGCACACACACACGTGCACACGTGCATGCACACACAGATGTGCACGTGCACACACACTCACACCCATGCACGTGCACACCCATGCACACACACACACTTGTGCACACACACACGTGCACACGTGCATGCACACACAGATGTGCACGTGCACACACACTCACACCCATGCACGTGCACACCCATGCACACACACACACTTGTGCACACACACACGTGCACACGTGCATGCACACACAGATGTGCACGTGCACACACACTCACACCCATGCACGTGCACACCCATGCACACACACACACTTGTGCACACACACACGTGCACACGTGCATGCACACACAGATGTGCACGTGCACACACACTCACACCCATGCACGTGCACACCCATGCACACACACACACTTGTGCACACACACACGTGCACACGTGCATGCACACACAGATGTGCACGTGCACACACACTCACACCCATGCACGTGCACACCCATGCACACACACACACTTGTGCACACACACACGTGCACACGTGCATGCACACACAGATGTGCACGTGCACACACACTCACACCCATGCACGTGCACACCCATGCACACACACACACTTGTGCACACACACACGTGCACACGTGCATGCACACACAGATGTGCACGTGCACACACACTCACACCCATGCACGTGCACACCCATGCACACACACACACTTGTGCACACACACACGTGCACACGTGCATGCACACACAGATGTGCACGTGCACACACACTCACACCCATGCACGTGCACACCCATGCACACACACACACTTGTGCACACACACACG